TCGTTCATGATCAACTCTTAATGCAAGATCAATCAGTCATGTTCCAGTTTTATAGAACTAATTGTCCATTTACAGAGTCGAAACTGCAACAGGAAGTGCCTGAACAAGGAGGCAGATGTTATGTCATTTTCGGACAAGAAGCATAGCTATTATACTAAGATTGATTTTGAGGTGATCATAAACAACTGATTAGGAAATCTGTTAGGCTGCTTATTATATAGAATCATGATATCCAAAGAAGCCAAGGCTACAGAGGTGATGGTCTTGATGAGTAGTACTAAGACATTCCTGCAAGAGAATTTCAAGTTAATTGGAAAGAATAGGGAGGGCTTTGAAATTCCATGCTACTTGGCCTGAAGATTGAGAAGTTAATAGGAATTGCATGTCTTAGCACATTTCTCATTAATGTAGCTAGTCTTTTCTAGAGGTTGCTAAATTTTTGTTTTTCGATTTTTCACCTCGCGTCGCCATTCTCATCTTCGGCATCATGTTAAAGGCCTTCAAAGAGGCCCTTGATGTGTGTTGACTGTAGTTCATTGACCGAGTGCATGTGACTCAAAAAACATCTCTTTGTTGCAGAAAGTGGAATTCTGTCACATCTAGTGCTATTTCATTTTCATTTTCATTTTTTTGTCTCAAATTTGCACACTATTCGTTTATGTTCCATTTAAGTTGTTCTGAAGTAGAATGAGTTGTGTTTGGAAGTTTGGTTGTCATTTTTGTTTTGTGAACAGGTAATGTGCACTGAATTCCGTCAAGAGAAGGAAGAATTAATCCAGGCATTACACAAAGATAGAAAGATGTCAGATCTTCCTAAGATAACTCAGGTACTGTAATTTTAATACCTCTTTCAATTCCAATACATATGTGTGAATATTTTCTGGTTCAAATTTAGCTGTTGTTGATCTTCTTGAGCACCTTCTAAAAGGAGTATGTTTCCTCTATGCAGCCTACACTAATAATCTGGGGAGAACATGACCAGGTTTTCCCCCTGGAATTGGCACACAGATTAGAAAGGTAATCAATTCTTGAGTACCTGTTCAGCTCGGTGTGCTTTTCAAGCTTTCATATCTATCTAATAGGAAAGAACATAAAAGCATCCACTTTTGAACAATCTTGGAACCTGCTTTGCCTACTCCCCTTCCTGATATGGTCATCTATTCAGCAACCAACTGGGACTTTTGTGGTTAGTAACTGTGCTAGTTGATGCAATAATAAGTTAATGATTTTTCTTCATTGACGCGTGCAGGCATATCAGTGATAATGCAGAATTAGTGATAATAAAGAATGTCGGTCATGCACTCAATGCAGAGAGGCCTAAGGAGCTGTATAAACACTTAAAGTCTTTCTTCATTGACAATCATCCTTTATCAAAGCAAGCCAGACATGGAAACGGTACTAAGTCAGATTGAAATACCTACCTAGAATGATGAGGAGAACTCAGGAGTTTCTGACTTCTCTATTTAGATTGCAACTTGCGTGCACTGAAGACAATTCGAAGCTTATAAATGTACTCATTTAATTATTGAGAGAGGATAAAGTAGATCAATTCAAAGAGATTTGAGCTATGATCCCCTCATCTCTGAGGAAACTGGTTAGGTAACACTTGCAATCTCCTATTTCGAAAAGTTTGCACTGCAAAAACTGGAAATTTTTCTGTGATTGTTGCATCCCTTTTGTTGCTGACAGAGTTTTGGATGCTCCTCTGTATCTCTGTATGTATATGCACATTTATTTTTAATTTATTTTTAATATTCTATATTAATTATAGGCTTATCCAAATATTGCTTATTCGTATGTCACTGAATGAAAGCTGAAACTGCCCTTTTTCTACACCATCATAGGCATGGATGTAGAACTCACAGTCCTTTGCTCTACCTCAAATCAAAGCCTTTTGGAAGTTGTTTGAATGGTGAGGAATTATGTAACTAGGAATTTGAGGGAGTTGAAAAGGGAGTCAAAGCTGAAGAGTGATTAAACAATTTTTATTGGAAAGAAATCATGGTAAGTGGAACTACTAGAAGAAGTATTTGGAAGCTACATTCATCGCTATGATCACTTGAGTTCAGGGTGTTTTTTTGTTCCCTTTCCATCAGTCCAATGCATATGGAGGGAGAGTGTTATACTTATGAATGAATTTATTACAGGCTTAACTGCTTTATTCCTTGTATAACTGGTTAACCACTTGTCATATATATTAGAAAAGTAATTAATTTGACTTAATTTTTTATTTAGTAGTTTTTTTTAAGTATAGTTAATATTTTTTCATCAATAATATTTTAATTTAATATTAATATTTTTTCATTAATAATGTTTGGATTTAACATGAAAACATAAAATATGCCTGTTAAATTATATTTATTTTCCACTTAAAAGTTATTTAATCGTTTTAATAAGATTTGAAATTCTTTTCAAATCTTATTTTTTTTAGCAAATAATTTCTTAATAAATACTATTTAAGAACAAATATAATATTTTTTTTAATTCACCTAAAGTGATGAATCCTCTCTTAATCACTCAGGTACCTTCATACATTTTATGTTATATCTAATATCTATCTCTTTGTTATCTTAATTAAGATAATATGTAATAATATTAAAGTATAACATTTTTTATATAAAATAATTTAGTGTTTTTAAGTGTAAGAATTACTTACACAATCGTCATATAAGCTTTTACATAGAAAATAATCTTTTTATATGAAATTCTTAAACGGGTTAATTCAGTGTATATGTTTTATGACAAACACCTGCATATTAGTTTTATATATCTCTTATACCTTAACTTATAAAAACAATTGTTTCCTTTCATAAATAAAAAAACATAATATGTATTAATCTTTCTGGCTCTAACAAATATCCAATATATAAAAGAGTATCGATCAAAAATATTTTAAAAATAATATTTTAATACAATAAAAATCTCATTATTATAATAATTTTATAATTATATTTGCAAAATATTTTTGTTATATATATATATTTTAGATTTTATCTTTTCTTTAAATTCATAAATCAAATATTAAATTTATTAATTTAATATTATATAAATATTAAAAATAAATTAAATATTTATTAATAATAAATATATATTCACATAAATATAATAACATCATGTCCCCTGTCATATTAAATAAATTCTGCAGGCTGTAGGGATCGCACTCCGTAGCGGTAGTGGTTTTATTACGGCACAAACAAACAAACAAACAAACAAAGGAATTGCCAGGATGAGCGTAACCACAAATTCCACCGCTAGTCTCACAAGTGTAGCCCTTATTTTCCATGTAATAATCATCTAAACCCCCCCTTCTGTACTTCAATATTGCCCCATACTGCCATTGGAAAGGTTTGGTTGGATAATCCTGAAGGAACATATCTGAAGCATATCCCATGCACTTCAGCTTTTGGAGATCAAGCTCACCTTCGCTATTAAAATTAGCTGGAGAATACACACAACACGTGTTTGTAGGTGGTAAGAGTGGCAAGCCAAGGCCAATCACGGATGTACACGTGCAAATCGTTGCGCAGAGATAAGAGGAGGAGGTGTCACAAACAGGTGACCCCTTGGTGGTGAGACAGGAAGTCGAGGGTGTGCATGAGAGGAGAGGGGAAGTTGTTGGGCCAAGCTGGAATGGACTTGCCCAGTCGAGGCCTCAGTTAAGGGGATTGTTGCATGGAGGTGCATGTGGACATGTGTGGTGGAGGTGGTGTAGGATATGGAGGTGATATGGTAACAACCTGTGTAAGCTATGAGTAGGTGCTGGTCACCCTCAGTTGAACCAGCCATGTAAGGATGGAAACTGGGTGAGCCGCAGCAGTGGCCACTGCCAAGAGGGTACTTGACCTGCTGTATGGAACCATATGTGGTCCGGCATGGTAGGTCTTGGGCTAATGCTCGCCCGATCTAGTATGAATTGGGTGACATGGGAGAGCAAAAGGATGATGACGTTCAACAGTAGAAGATTTCCATGGAGAATTTGATGTGTCGGTTGGCGAAGGAAAAGGGCAGAGTAAAGAGGAAATTAAGCAATCGTTGTATGCTTTCGAGGATTTTTATCTTGTATGTTTTGTTCTTGAGCTAAACACCTGTATCCTAGCATGTGATGTAAAATGTGGTCCTTGCCATGGTTACTTTTGTGTCCTGAAGCCCATCCAATATTCCAATCCCAGTTGGATGTCCTAGTGCAGCTATTTAATGCAGCAGCTCGTATAAAGACTTCTGGGGTCAATCTCTAAAATCCTTTTGCTAGCCATAGCACCGCATAGTCGAAATTAAGAATTTGTTTTTGTCACTGCGAGAGGCGAGAGGCGAGAGGCGAGAGCCGTGTTTAGCAGCAAGTAATCTACTAAACCCACTCAACCAAGGCCAGGTTCGTCCTCTGTCCAAGAGGAAGTAACCAAATGAAACCTCGTGGACCTTCACAGAGACAGGTGTGGAAGCTCACAAAGGCAGGGGAGTGGAAACCATAACAAGACTCCCACACAAAAGGCCACCTCCCGGCAGGGTTAAGTAACTTTTTTTTTTTTTTTGAAGAGGCTAAATAAGAGGAAGAACTATATGAATATGTAAATCCATAGTTAATTCTATACGTTTGTGTTTATTAATGTAAAAACGAGGAGTGCAAGATGCTTAACAGCACCACTAAGTTAATGGGATTTGCTCTCTTTCCGAAATGGTACTTGAATCTTTCTCAAAAGCAACGTGTTATTTGTCAAAGAATTCTATGTATAAATTGGGATAACTTCAGTTAATTTATTAGAAAATCCGAAGAGCAAGGGAGACATTAGTCTCTCCTGCTATTAAAATTTAGAAAAAAAATTAATTCCCATTTATTTTTGCATTTTAAAAATATTTTTAAAAAAATTAAAGAATTTTTTATTTAAATTAATATTTTAAAATAATTTTAATATACTAATATTAAAAATAAAAAATATTATTTTAATATATTTTTAAATAAAAAAACACTTTAAAAAATAACTTCAATTACCGGCTAAAATACTACGACTACAGCACAAAAATTTATACGCTCATCTCCTCTCTCTGCGATCGGAGACAGAGACATGGTGATCCTTAAACCCGCCCCCCATCTCTTTAGACGCCTTTTTCCCTCTCCTTTTCAAATTTCTTACCATTCATCTTCTAACTACCTTAACTGTCACATAGACTCATTTCTCTCTAACCAGGCCCAAACTCTCCAATCTCTACACAAATCCCATGCTCTCATAATAACTACTGGCAATGCAAACAATGTTTTTATATCATCAAAACTTATCTCTCTCTATGCATCTTTCAGAAAACCCCATTCATCCACCTATGTTTTTGACTCAACAAATAAAAAAGACACCTTTCTTTGGAATTCTATCATCAAATCTCACTTTTCCAATGGGAATTACTTCAAAGCTTTTGACTTTTACATCCAAATGCGGTATGATAATACCCCACCAAACCAATTTACAATTCCCATGATTGTAGCCACTTGTGCTGAGCTTTTGTGGCTTGAAGAGGGAAAATACATTCACGGGTTGGTCTCAAAATCTGGATTTTTTGCGGAAAATTCTGCGGTTGGGTCATCTTTTGTTTACATGTACGCTAAATGTGGGGTTATGGAGGATGCATCTCTTATGTTTGATGAAATTGTTGTTAGAGATGTGGTGTCTTGGACAGCACTTGTAATCGGGTATGTGCATAATGATGACAGTGAGAAGGGTTTGGAGTGTCTTTGTGAGATGCATAGAATTGGTGGGGATGGTGAGAAGGTTAATTCTAGGACACTAGAAGGTGGGTTTCAAGCTTGTGGGAATTTGGGCGCAATGATTGCAGGAAGGTGTCTCCATGGTTTAGCTGTGAAAACTGGACTCGGGTGCTCTCATGCTGTTCAATCTTCTCTTTTGTCAATGTATTCCAAGTGTGGGAATGTTGAAGAGGCTCATAAGTCTTTTTGTCAAGTTGTAGATAAAGATGTTTTCTCATGGACATCAGTAATTGGTGTTTGTGCAAGATTTGGGTTTATGAATGAGTGCTTAAACCTGTTTTGGGATATGCAGGTTGATGATGTGTATCCAGATGGGATTGTTGTAAGTTGCATCCTTTTGGGTTTTGGTAATTCCATGATGGTGAGAGAGGGAAAAGCCTTTCATGGACTTATTGTAAGGAGAAACTATGTTTTGGACGATACGGTTAACAATGCTTTGTTATCCATGTATTGCAAGTTTGGAACTTTAAACCCCGCAGAGAAGCTTTTAGATGGTGTACATGAATGGAGTAAAGAGTCATGGAACACTATGGTTTTTGGATATGGTAAGATGGGAATAGAAGGGAAGTGTATCGAATTATTTAGGGAGATGAGAGATCTAGGCATTGAAGCTGATTCAAACAGCTTGGTCTCTGTAATTTCTTCGTGCTCTAAATTGGGACTGATTAATCCATGTCGATCAGTTCATTGTTACATAATTAAGAATTCAGTGGATGAAGATGTCTCAATCGCCAATTCACTTATAGACATGTACGGAAAAGGTGGTAATTTGTCCATTGCATGGAAAATGTTTTGTAGGACGCAGAGAGATGTTGTCACATGGAACACCTTGATCTCATCATATACTCACAGTGGGCACCACGCAGAGGCTATCACATTATTCGATGAAATGATTTCAGAAAAATTAAACCCCAATTCAGCAACATTGGTTATAGTTCTTTCAGCTTGCGGTCATCTCCCATCCTTGGAGAAAGGAAAAATGGTTCACCAATATATTAAGGAAGGAGGATTTGAGCTCAATGTTTCTCTTGGTACTGCATTGGTTGATATGTATGCAAAATGTGGTCAACTTGAACAATCAAGAGAATTGTTCAACTCAATGAAGGAGAAAGATGTCATTTCTTGGAATGTAATGATCTCAGGTTATGGTCTGCATGGAGATGCAAATTCTGCAATGGAGGTTTTCCAACAAATGGAGCAATCAAATGTTAAACCGAATGCAATTACCTTTCTATCACTCCTCTCAGCTTGCACTCATGCAGGATATGTTGATGAAGGGAAGCAACTGTTCGATAGAATGCAATATTATTCTATAAAACCCAATCTAAAGCATTTTGCTTGTTTGGCAGATCTTCTTGGAAGATCAGGTAATCTACAAGAAGCTGAAGATCTGGTTCAGTCAATGCCAATTTGTCCTGATGCAGGTGTTTGGGGAACTTTGTTAAGTGCTTGTAAAATTCATAATGAAATTGAGATAGGAATAAGGGTGGCAACATGTGCTATTGAATCTGACCCAGAAAATGATGGGTACTATATAATGCTTTCCAACATGTATGGTTCTATGGGAAAGTGGGACGAGGCTGAAAGAACAAGGGAACTGATGAAGGAAAGGGGAGTAGGGAAGAGAGCTGGTTGGAGTGCAGTGTAGCTTAGAGGGAATGTCATTTGTTATTGTTCGCATATCTCCATTGAACCTTAAACTCATTTAAGTATACGAGGAGTTTTGCAGGCTACCTTAAATGTGACATTTTCTGACCTGAAAAGAGCTCTGTATACAGCTTGTTAGGGCCAAGAATTGATGGTCATAACTAGAATTGCAAGAACGCATCTTGCGGGTAATCTTGTTCATCACAGTGGGTTGCGGCCTTGTATCATTTTCCATGGCGTTTGGGTGTTGTCAATACGAAGTACTTAAGCAGACTCATCATCATAAAACCTATCGAACACTTGTTGGGGCAATAATTGTCAGTTTGACTAGTTCAAACACTGCCTGGCGTTTCTGACAAACAAAACCGGGGTTGTAATTAGTGACAATAAGAATCTGTTTGAAGCTTCAAGGAGCCAGTTTGATAATGTTGAAGCTTACAAACTCTATCAACATTTAGAAATCCATGGATGTTAAATTCTAACCTCTGTGAGGACGTTTTGTCAGATTGCTCTGGAATAGGTGCCATCTTTTACGTTCTAGTCCTGGAGTATGTGCTGCTATCTCCTGGAAGATGTTGTCACTGACAGGTTTTCAACTAGTCTTGCAGCTCTATGCCTTAATTCTTCTTTCTCCATGTGCAAATTTTACGCTTGATATGATTTTCAATTTGTAATTGATATTGCAGTGGTACTTGGAGGAGAGCGATGGTGACAGGAGCATGGCATTGTGGAGGGAAGGCATCTTGTGCTAGCCTGTGAGAGTTACCATGCACTACGTTCATTCGCCATCTGGAGTTGGTGCTGTGTAACAAATAACGTCAACTTTTCTTTAGTCATGATATAATTAGATGGTCTAATTTGTTAGAATATATCACCTTCTTGTGCATCAACTCTTTTGGTTTCTCCAAGTCGATGACAATCATTCTTTAATATCATGAAAGATGTTTTCTTGCTATTATAGGAATCCACTACCAAGTATTTATGAGAAAGGTTTGACACTTCATTACTATAGCGTTTTTGCTATTTTCTGCATCTTTTATTTGCAAATACGTACCGTGAATTCGATTAAAAAAAAAATCCCTTATCGGCATTTACTTAATTATATGATTAAAAATTTGGGCCCGTTCACCAAAAAATGAAGTTCGCCATGATACTTTGAGTTTGCAAGGGTAAGATGCGACTGAATTCGCTATCCCATGTACCATAAACTGATCTCACACTTCAACCCACCGTATCATCAATGTTGGCCTCTACCTTCCGACCAGTGACCAATTTTTCCAAAAGACTTTAGCAACCAATTTTTAATAAGTTGTTTTAGCATTTTTTAATCCAAAAGGCATCACTTTATAACAGTACATGATGAAATGCGTTCTCATTTTAACTTTATTTTTCATCTTAATTTAGTGATATTTGAAAAACAAATCTAAAACACCCAACATATGATAATCTACCGTTGAATCCACAAGTTGATTAATTTTCATGAGGGGTAACTATCATTCAAACAAGCTTTATTTAGGGTGGTAAAGTCTACACGTTTTCTCCACTTTCCATTTGCTTTCTTCACGAGCATCACATTGGCAAACACTTCGGATACATTTTCTCCCAGATTTCAACAGTAAAAAATGGTTAAATCTGCTACTCCATGGACGAACTTGATTAAGGAACCATGTAAATCTGTTTGTTAACAAGGCATGTCCATGAAGCAATGAATTTCACTATACTGAAGAAATGATACAATCACTCACCAGAACCTCAATAAAAAATCAAGACAAAGATCTCCATCTCTTTTCTCCCTTGCAAGTTGCTCACTTCTCGCACACTCAATTAATCTCACTCTCACTTGATTTTTTCAATAATGGAGGGAGCCTCCTATTTATAGGGACTAAATGGTGCCATTATGTATGAAGTTGTATGAAGTTGGAGGTTTCGAGCTGGAGAGTTAAAGAGATAGTTAGAGACTGGAAGTTGGTGTTTAGAGGCCAGCATGGTTACGGAGACAGGATGAGGGAAATCTAGACAAATTGCCATAAATTTCTAACCTTGCGAGATTTTTCCTCCTAGTATTCACTCAATGATGCCATGCATCTCGAGGGTACACAACACCAAGTGATATTAATGTTCAAGTAATATTGAAATTTGATTTTTTAAATAATTTTTATGTGCATGTTAACTAACCAATTTTTTTATAGTATAATATTCCTTTCATCCCTTTAAGATAACTTTATTGAAGGTTTTTGTCACTACCATATACTATGCCTTAGTAGTTGACAAATATATTGTTGATTGTAATGTTAACCTTTAACTCACGAGTCCTCTAGTAAGTGTAAATACATAGTCTATAATAAAACAACACTCGTCCAAGCTACTTGTATAGTTTGAGCTTATATAACTAACTAAATTATGTTTGATTCTGTCTTTTAAACTTTAAACCAATAGCAATTGTGCTATGAATCTATCATATAATCTATTTTGTTACTTGCCAGTAACCCCTTCTCATATCATATATATTCCTGCTCACCATATTGAAAGAATATAAAATTTCAGTCTCGGACAAACTGGTGCAGACATTAATGCACTAACTGCATTTGTATGTAAAATTTAAGCAATATGTTTATGCTCACCCTCCGTGTGTGGAGATAATGAAGCAATGAGTTTAAAATAAAGGGTTAAATATGTACTTACAAGCTTGGTCTTGCCATTTACATCAATTCTCTGTAGAACTTTCTTTAAGTATTGGGTTTGTGTCAAACAAATCGTGTCTTTTCTTCTGTCACTTTAAATCTTCATGCTAAAAATCTTTTTAGCTTCTTCAAGATCTTTCACAAACTCATTCTTTAGTTGACCTTTTAGTTAATCAATTTTCACATTTCTCTTAAATATAATCAACATATCATCCACATATAAGAGCAAATAGATGAAAAAATCATTAAGGAGCTTACAAAAATATACACAATGGTTAAATTGACTTTATATGCATTTGTGTTCTGCCATGAACTTGTTAAACATATATGCCACTAGCATAAAGATTATATAAATCCATACAATTACTTTTTTTCAGTTTACAAGCCTAATTCTTTTTCCTGGTGACTTTGAAACCATGTGACTGAGACATAAAATTTCTTCTAATAAATCTCTATGTAAGAAGGCAATGTTTACATTAAGTTGGGCTAAACTCAAGATCAAACTGTGCAACCAAATCTAACATAATATGGATTCATGAATGATTAGCAATCGGGGAGAATACCTTGTCATAATTTATCCTCTATTTTTTAGGATAACCTTTTACCACAAATCTTACCTTGGATCGAATGTTATTTTTTTCAAGATTACCTTTCTTATTGGAATAGACCCAACTATAACCAATTACCTTCTTTTCTTAAGGAAGTTATATTAAATTTCAAGTCTAATTATTGTTAAGATATTTCATCTCTTATCCATTGCCTTTTTTTATTTTGTATTTTTTGTACTACTTCTTTGTAGATATAGAGGATTTCATCATCAATCATAAAACATCTAAAGGCTACCATATTACAATACTGAGTAAGTTTCTCGACAATCCTTTTTAGTTTACTTGTTGTAATGAATTCTTGTTGTTATGTGGTTACTAGAGTTATAACATCCTCTTCATGTAAACTTTCATCTAGATCTTTTTCTGCAGGAAAATTGATTGTTTGAATAATCTTTATAGGAATGAGTAATGTCTCAAACTCCACATGTTATGCATCACTTTGTTGTTTCTCATTCTTTTATGATTTCTTTTGTTGCAATATGCTAGACTCGTCAAAAGTGACATATCTACTCATCATCATTTTCTTTGATTCAGAACATTAAAGTCTATAACCTTTTATCATCCAATAAAACTCAAGAATATAGTTCTCTTGGCTCTAGAATTCAGCATAAACTCAATAACATGATAATATACGGAGCATCTAAATACATGTATTGATTCATAATCAGTAGTAATAGAGTTTAACCATACCTCCAAGAGAGTTCTTCCATGTAATGTTGTTAAAGGCAATTGATTGGAAATATAACAAGTATAGTTTAATGCCTCACCATAAAATGTTTTTCTTAGTCATGAATGTGGTAGTATAAGTTAAACTTTCTTCACCAATATGCAGTTCATGCGTTCTACGACTCTATTTTGTTAAAGTGTTTTATGAATAATGAAATATTACTTGATCTTTTTATTCTTAAAAACTTTGAAGAAAAAATTTAAAGTGTATCCACCACCATTGTCTGTTTGAAAAACCTTCCTTCTAATTTAAGTCTCCATCATTTTCTTATATTTCAAAAAGATATCAAGGACCTCATCTTTATATTTCATCATGTACAATCATACTCTTCACACTCTTCACGAGAAAGCATCAATAAAAGTAACAAGCCATTATTTACCTCCAATAGATTCATTATTTGAAGGTCCCATATACATTTGTGTGAAAATAGTTTAAAATCCATTTTGTGTTGTGTACAACGGTGCCGAACTTGATCCTTGTCTATTTTTCAAGAACACAATACCTACAGGACCCATGCTTCCTAGTTTTATGCTTTTTAATAGACCTTGTTTGATTAACCTTTGCAGAGCCTCTTCATTAACATGGCCTAAACACATGTGCTAAAGAATGGAATCATTTATTTCATCATCTTCTAAGCTCTCTAAGATGGCTGCTCTATTGGTGATTTTTCCTTAATGCTTACTTATTTTTAATAGTAACTCTATTTATCACATATCTTTGAGTCAAAATAAGGTACTAATCTTTCTTTTCTTTACTATACTTCTTTATAGTTAATCAAGCATCTCTAGAGAAATCACATTTCTATCATATCATTGAACATGAAGAACTCGATCATCCATTTGTCATTAACTTTATAAACTACCATCGTTTCACCACAAACTATAACATGTACAATAATAATATCGTGCGAATAATACTTTCACTAAGTTAGTATAAAAGGTTAGAGAGATCACTAATAGTCTCATTTAAAACCTAATCTCCTTAAATAGAGTTTCATATACCATATTCATTTATCATATTATCTTTCCAAATATGTAACCAATATTATTTATGTGAACAATATCATTGTTCAAAAATAACTTTAACTTGTTAGCTGTGCTGCGACTATTCTTGATAATTCTTCCATTGCATACTTAGTTATGAAGTCTTATTTTTTACTCTATCATAAATAATTTGAACATTTTGGGTATCTATAATATGATTTCTTTACACTTGGCAAGACTACCAATATTACCAATTCATTAGGATTTGTCTTTTATAATTTTTCACTTTACACCCTAATCCTCCACATTCCATATAATTAGGTGTATAGAATATCCTAATTTTGCCCTTTTCTCGAGGCTTCAAGTCATGCTAAACTCCTTTTAATAAGGCTGACTTATCACTTAACAATTCAACATATATATTGAGCTAACATGTGCAACCTTTTCTTTTTAATCACTATCACCTACCAAGATGATTACAATATGTTATATTTCCTAGGCAATTCATCTCATTATATTACCATCACCATTTTCAATCTATATATCAACAAATAGACCATATTGATGCATCCGAAACAATTAAATTATTGGAAAATAAGTATGAAATCAACCAAATCACATTTCAAATGGCTCTAATTTGATCAACAAAGTTTTGACCTAATGAATAGTTCATATTGATTTATATATTCGGTTACATATAGGATCAATTACACTCAATCTCTACATGCAATTGAGACTCAACTCGATTCATATAAAACTCGATGATTTATAACTCAATAGCATGACCATGTTGATATGATGATGATTGGTTACTTACATGAAATGATGACATGGTATTATATTCAAGAAGACTTTTGTAGGCAAATTTTTAGTAGCATCGTTTTAGCTGCAATTTGCATAAAATTTTCATGCTATTTTTGTTTTCAAAATGGTATGTCTAAAACACAATTGAGT